AGGCTGTCTTCTCGCGTCTCGGCCGGCTGGCTGCCCTGTGCACGCTGTGCTGGAAGCACGGGGAAGCTGCGGGGAGTTAAACGTTAACATGGGGCCGTTCTTCTAATCGCGTCTTAGCTAAGAATACCGACGGATTAGGCGTGGGTCCCAGACCACGTTTCGTCTTCCAGCACCTACTTTCCTATTACTCACACAGATCCCAGCCAAGTATTTCAAAGCCAAGCCTTTAAAACCATCAGGCCGCATCTAAAAATGACCGACTGACGGCGCACAGAACATCAACCAACTAAAAGTGCAGCGCCCTGTCGTCAATCCAAAAAACTTAAAGGCGGATACTTACTGGAAATGTGCGTTGTTGTTATTATTACTAGAGACTTCCCTTGTACTGCTGCAGTACTTGATCACTTCTATCATTTTAATCTAAAAAGTGGACCTACTGGAAAATCATACAGCAGGTCCAATCGGTATATTGGTCTGGCGGGAAGTTAGTTACCCTCTGGCGCAGGGGGTGCAGGGCGTAGGCTTGCCGGAACGAAGAACTGAATGAGGGAAGCTGCTGCTGAGAAGTTACAGAGCAGAAAGGCCGGTTCCTGTCGTGGAAGTCAGCCGGTACTTCTCGGTGTCATATCCTGCTTTCAGTCCTGACACTTCGGTTTGACCGAAACCACCTTCCATGTTGAACGTCTGCTTCGGATTACGTCTTGGAGAAAAGGTCACGCAACAGCTCTGCCCGTCCTGAGAGGTGAATAATGGAAATCACGTTGCAGAAATTAGTGAGTTTCAGTATGAAATCTGTATAGCTTCTTACCCCCTTCAAAACAATTAGTAAAAATTACACTGCAACAGTACACATGAAATGCTGGTATGGACAACCATCCTATCTAAGTCCATTTCAGCCACTAGGATAGGGAAAAATACACAGTTTGGAGCATGCTTTGCCTTGTAAAGCTCTCACTACTTTAAGCAGAACCTTGAAATTAGGTGGAAAAATACCACTCGTATGATAGATGTCTCACTGTAGAGAGACAGCCGCCTTACAAGTCTTTGAAAGGCTCGTAATTCGGATGTTTCCAGCAATTCCTTCAAGATTTCAGCAGCTGGGTTCCTTGAACGTTTATCTGTAACCGGCAGACTGCCCCACGCCCGCACAGGCCACCCCGCTACTGTGTGACTCACGAATGCCCAATCCACGCAGCGCTCACGTTTCTCCAGTGACCCCGAGCCACGCTAGCAGCGACCAGGAATTCAGGCAAGATCATTCCAGCTATACTGATTAAAAGATTAAAATCTTCGTCTAATTATGAGCAGAATACTGATCTCCTAGGCTGGAGGTTCATCAGCAGGCCACCTCACCGAAGTTACGTCGCAAGTAGCGCGGTAGAGAGGGAAGACAGAATTTTGTTCACGTCCCAAAAGGATGCTCTACAGCAGGAGTCGGGTTCGGCATACTTGATAAGCACCTGACATAATGCGAAGCTCCTAACCTTTTATGAATCTTTTATCTAAACTATATTTTCCTAACAGATTTGAATCGGGTACAGTACATGAGGCAAGAACACACGCTAAAGTAGAGATAAATCAAAACACAAAAAGCTACCTGTGAAAATAACCCAAGTTTAGCAGTAACAGGGATCCCCTGGCATAAATAGTATCTATCAAAGCAGCCTAACGCTCATGGCAAAGGAGGCTGCGTGCTTAATATTACACAGTCGGCGCAAAGGCTTCTCCAATGTATTCTATGCAGCCCTGCTGATAAAAATATTAACGTTGTTGAGCAAAAGCTTTGCGAAAAAACGTCCCTGCCTGGTATGGAACATGCCAGTGGGAAGGATGTGAAAGAAGTACAGCGTGCATTCAGCTGCTCTTGGAGCTGCCAAAAAAGCGTCCGTGTTTGCCAGACACCACCCGGCAAATACAATGAGTAGATTGACTTTCTGGGAGGAAATATCTGACAAAGATGTATGGAATGGAAGACAAAGAACAAAGTATTTCATTTTGATAGAAATATGTTTGCCATACTTATTCAGAGTTGGTCTAAGTATTCGGAATGGACTGGAACGATCCAGTAATTTCAATACGAGAGGGCCTGAATAGCCCAATGCATTTCAAGATGAATAAGGATCATTGACTCTTTGGCTGTAAGCCAAGAGATTTAACTTGGCGATGAAGGCATCTGATCTGATGAGGACAAAGTTCTGTCTAACAACGTTTTGACGTCTAACAATGCTGTTTGCTGGTTTTCCTGTTTCCCATGACTTACTATTTTATATTTACCTATTTAAGAATACTGTAATTTCCCTTTTTCCCTAAGCCTTATAATACAGCATAAAAATGATTTTTACAGGGAACACTCAAACCATAGGCACGTACAAATTACACTATAAAAGTGCAGTATCATCTGGCAGATATATCTGGCTATTTGAAAGGTAGTTTTAAAGGTGAAAGACCTCTTTGGAGAAACCACTGGAAACCCACAGACAGAAGCAACTTTGCAGAGCCTGACTTTTAACCAGCGTACGCAGACTTGTCACTTCTCAAGGACTTCCCCTCAAGGACTTCTCAGGACTTCCCCTGAGGGCTCCCTGCCGCCGGTACACCCCAGAGGTCCGCAGGCCCACACGCCTGCCCCTCCACGCCGGCCCGGGAAGGCACGTACAAGGCCGAAGGGGGAAAGGGGGACCGCTGCTCCGGCGCCGCGGAGGCCACGGTAACCTTTCACCT